ATTATTACTGTTTGATCACACAAGGTAGGACTGCAAAGGAATTGGCTATGGGCTAGCTTTAGTTGAGCCGAATTCAATTGAAGAAGAAACAAATCAGATTGGAATTTAATTTACATCATTAATTTGGCCGTTAATTCAACAATTGCTGCCACATTCATGAGTCTAGATTTGGTTTGCGATATATTTTCAACAAGACTTGACAGAATTATCAAGTCACAAGAACCAAAGAACGAAAACAAGGATGTTTGTGTGTAAAAAAGAAAAAAATCAAGTATGCATTTTCCCATTTGTGCAGTGCATACATGCACAAGCAGCGATAGATGCATAACTAGATTGAGGTTTTATTCACTGAATTAAAAAAATATCCAATTTGATTCTTTTGTCAATGGACATATTACATCACATATGCCACTAGAAGGAAATACTGCCATGTTCCTCAATTTCTAGTTATTTATCAGAATATCTAATATGTATCATAAAATACATATCAAAAGTGTATATGATATACACTATTTGAAATGTATATGTCATAACATGAAAATAAAGATGTGTATTATAGCATAACCCTTCCCTTTGTTTTGTGTTATCATTAGAAACACTACAAGAAATTTGAGTTTTAGTGGTGTTTTTTAAAATGTCGCTAAAAGCCTGAAAAACGCTGTAAAATTTTACAACAATGTTTAAAATTTTCGTCGTTGATATGACCGCCGCAATAGCTTTACAATGTTTGAAAACTGTCATTAAAATTATTAGACGGTGTTTTTTAAAATGCCGCAAAATCTTTTACATCCGCTTCCATTTCCATCACAAACTAACGCATGACGTCATTTAGTGGCGTTCTAAATGACGTTTTTTGAAAAAACGCCACTTTTTTTTTCTCCTTGATTCTGAAATATGAGAAAAATTACAATCAATATTTTGTCCAAAGCGTAGTATTTCAGAAGATATGCACTGAAAGATTCAACACAATTATGAGGCCCCGTTTGCCAAGATTCTAAAATATAGTACAAGCCAAAGAATTTAACTAAAGAAGGCAGCTTGTTGTAATAACAAACAAATTTAAGCCAAATAAGTGCAAAAAAATATTTAAACTAAATAAGTCCAAAAAAACAACAAAAATTTAATGCCTTTTTCACAATTTTAGTAAAGGATTATAAGCAAATGTCTTTCTTTGCCTCAAAGAACTCGCCTTCTCCCTTCTTTTTCTTCTTCTCGACTTGCTTTGCAAAATACTTGTCATCAAACTTTTCAACATTGTCCAGTTCCAAAAAAAAAAAAAAAAAAACTTTTCAACATTGACGCCAGAGATGTCCACCTTGGTCGAAGTATCAATCAAATAAGATTGATTTACATGTCTAAGAGGAACACCATTAAGCTTGAAAGGTCCCGTAGAAGCAATGGAGAAAATGAGACAGTAATTCAAAAGCTACTCAACAATATCTTACCAAACCAAGTGAAAAAAACACGCCTAATGGAAATCGTAGGGCTGCCCTTGGGAGTGCACAATTCCACAATGGTATTCTTTACCAAACGAGCTCGTACTACCAACAAAATCAAGCAATGGTAATGCTATCTATCAAGACCAGATCAAGAATTGCAATCCTTCCAAATCATATATTGCATAAGTCATGAACAAGTAAATTTTCCAAGGACCAACCACGGATCTCATGAGAATATGGCAATCAATATAGCCAAGTCATGTCAAACTAATATTTATGCAACAAAGCAACAGTAATCATACTCTATGATTCCACATACACAATTTTATGTGACTAAGCAACACCATTCATAGGATATCCAACATCAAACTATGCAGCATCACATAAACTAACAGGTATTTGCCATCATCAAACCCAAGAACATAAGAGAGAATAAAAATAAAATAAAAACCCACCTTGCAAAAATTAAAAATTAAAAGATACAAATTTAGTACCTTAGGTAGTGATGACGCAGCTCTTGCTTGGAGAAGACATTTTTTAATCTAAAAGTACTATGTATTTACCAACTTGCCAAGTTTAGAACAAAAGAAAAAAGATGCAAGCCCTCAAATATTCAATTCCCTATAGGTCTTAAAAAAATTCAGAATTCAAACATAAGAACCCAAAACAAACATTTGAACAAGTGGAATCAGCTTTGGCAAAATCAAAAGATGGTAGGCACACTACAACATATAAAAGTTTTAGAGACCAAATGTTTTGGTCTCTAAAAGTGAAAATTTTGTTGTAAAAGACATTTAAAGACCAATTTCCATCTTCATGAGGATAGTTGCTAAAAGGTCGTCCCAAAAAGTAAAAAATAAGGCATTTAGCGACAAAATTTTGAAAATGTCACTAATAAATAGACTTTTAGGGACAAAATAATTGGTCTCAAAATGATTTATTTTTTGAGACAAAAAATTTGATCCCAAAAGGATAATAATTCATCACAATGTCCAATTTTTGTTGCTAAAATTATAATGACGACACTTTTCCAAAAAAATTATTTGGTCTCTAAAAAATAATTTTGTCCCTAAATTTTGGTTTCTAAAACCTTAATTTTTTGTAGTGACAATAACTTGAGAGAAGAAATCACCAGAAGTATCACAAATTTAAAACTAATGAGAAGGTACATTATGTTCTTGTATACAGCTTGTTATTGAGGTGGTTGTTTGTAAGCAGCACGTCACCTATTTCTTAGTGCGATGGTTGCATGTAGGACACATGTTAATAGGTGGCTACATGCAAAACCATGTCACTTGCCATTGAATGTTTGCATGAACATCATGTGTCACTAGCTTGTTATGGAGTGGTTGCATTGTATGTCTACCACTAGTCCACTTCTTGTTATTTTGTAGTTTTTCTATTCCAAAGTACTTCATAAGGAAGTAACTTCCTTGGCTACTTATATATAGGGTTGTAATTACTCTTTTTAAGGATGTCTTTGAAGAACTGAAACTTAAGATTTTGAGATTTTATTTTAGTCTTACTTTGTTATTTCTTGTGGCTTGGTTTTGAGACCCACAGCTCGTGGAATTTGACCCTTACTTGCTAGATTTTTCATAAATCAATCCTAAAATTTGATTTTACAAAGTTTGAGAAAACTGCCCCCCCCTCCCAAAAGAGGAGTTTTTTCCAAGTTTGACCCTAGTCAAAGAAGTCAAAACACGCAACACCAAAAGGGCCATACTTTTGGAGATCATAACTCAGAAATGTGGTTCTAAAAAAAGCCTTTTCCATCCCCAACTCAGTTTCTTGGCAACTATGATTGAGACCACCACCATTTATATAAACATGTTTATTGTAATAACTCAACTAACCAATTGTCAAATAAGCCTAGAAATAAAATAGTCTACATAGATATTTTATATTTATTATATACACACCCCATGTATTCTAAGGATCTTTTTTTCTGTCAAAAAACTACAAAAATAACATCTTTATCCAAGAAAGACAATCCTGATATTGCATCCTTTGCCAGCAGTGGTAACCATAATGATCACATCTTATCCTCAAGAGTTCAAGAATGGCTCCAACAAAAAACAAAAACAAAAACAAAAAAATTTGGTGGCATTGGATCAAATATACATTCACAATCCACATTACAAACTTCAACACTTTGAATGATACTGCGGTTCAAGAAAAAAGCAAATATCACAATCACAAAGTTAAAAAGCTACATAAAAATATTGTTGTACTAAATGCCCATTATTAGCAAATATGATGACTTTATTTTATTGGCTGCAAATACGATGCTATTGTTAACAGGCAACAATCTTGTCAGATTTGCTTTTCCTATTTCTAATTAGATAACCAATCAATGTTTCAAATTAGATTTCAAATATAATTCTAAAAAGCTCATCTTTGAGAAAAAAACTAACGTCGATCATTTTTTATTTTTTACTTTTTTAAAAAGGTAAGGAAACAACAACTGCCATGCCATTTGAACTGCTCGTACGTAGTAATTCAAAGCTGGGACAATGGAGTACATACACTAGTATGATCCCTAAAACAATGGAGTACCTACTACACTACAATGCAGTCAAAAGAAGTCATGACAATAACCAATTAGTGATCCCCAAGACAAAGGAAGCCTTTCTATAGTCACTGCAAAGTCCCTTTCTCTAGTAATAACATGCATTGCAGTAATCAGCTACTTGGTCATATCATGGCAAACAATATGCTGCCAAGACCAGCCATGATATTGCTCCCATTATTTGCACAACTACCGCGCACCTAAATAGTAAATACAGAGTCTCTAACAAGGTAGCCCACTTAAAAGAGTATTTTCTGAACTGATTACAACCATGTCAATTAAAATTCTAAACTAATTCTCTGCAGATTATTGCTCCTATCAAATAAATTAATCGTTACAAACAACTCTGCACTCAGTTCTGATACAAATTCAAGAAGACGTACATTCAATATAAAAATTTCAAGTTCTAAACTTTACTTTAACAACGAGATTCTTATTTTATTTTTTATTTTTAGTCTCTGCATTCAAAGAAAAAACAAGAATTAATTTAAAATAGTATAGATTATCATATATGAATGATAAACCTGCATTTGATATTTTAGAACTTAGTTACAACTGGGATCTACCATTTACGTGGAATTTTCCCACAAAGAACTTCAATGTAGGTAAAGTTTTTAAAAGAATTGATATTCTACATGATTTATCTCTACTAATTACTTCATGCTATAATTTCTTTTAATAATTTATATACATGGTTATAGATGAAGAAAACTAGGTTTGCTCTGAGTTCTAACTGGATCAGAAAAACATTGTGCCAAAGTTTCAACTTGAATCAATCCATGTTTTCTTTTTTCTTCCTCCCCCTTACTCTTCATCTTCCAATCTAATTCAAATAAGAAATGGAAAAACTCTATCAAAAAAGGTAACCCCCACCCACGCATCTTCCCAAAACCGAATATGAAGCCCATTACCAACTTTCATAGACAAGAAAGGAGACACTATAGGATATAAATGAGAGATGGACTTCCAAAGGAGACCGACAATTGCCTCTCCTAACCACATTTGAATCTCTACCATTGTCCTAAACACCATACTTGTTTTTAATGATGGAGCACCATAATGACTCGCTTTCACTAGGGAACCTCCACAACCATTTGCTCAAGAGTCTAATATTCCTCGCAACAATATTCCCGATAGCAAGACCCCCTTTCTCCCTAGGGAGAGAAACCACCTCCCACTTAACTAAGTGATCCTTCTTATCTTCATCACACCCTTCCCAAAGAAAGTCTCGCACCAACTTCCCGACTTTCTTTGCAATCCTTACTAGAATCGTAAACAAAGACGAGTAGATAGGGATGCAACTCAGCAGTGATTGCACCAAAATGTATATCCCCCCTTAGACAACAACGCTCTCTTCCAGCCATCTATTCTTTTCCCAATCTCGACAAGTACAGATTCCAAAAAGAATCCGCTCGAGGATCCCCTCCTAAAGGCAAACTCAGATATTTAAGAGGGAACTCCTCAATGGGGCAACCTAAAAAATGAAATATTGCTCAGTTGACTTTGTTGATCGATTATATATCAATCATTCACCTTGACCAGCAGAAGTTTGGAGTTTTTAACTTCCTCCAATTTCTTTAATTAAAATTCTTACTCAATATATAGATAACACATACACAAAGATGAAAAGTTATTTATTATTATTATTTCAAATATTGAAGATCTCTAATATTCGCAAACTAGTCAGATTGCTTTGAGAAATTTCAATTGAGAATCTTAAAGTTTTGGTAACTATATATACGTTTCACTTTTATTTCTCAGAAAGTTCAAAATGCTCTGTAATTTCAGTGGAAGTACGAACCCATTGGATGGAATGTTGTTGCTCCTGGATGTCATTGCAGTACTCAAGAAGCTTAAAAAATCTTATTCTCAACACTATTTTTTTTCAAAATTTTGTTTGTTGATAAGAAAATAACGGCATGAACAGCACAGATTATCTAATAATTGAAGAAAGTAACAAGTAATATACAAAGAAACTTACGGAGCTATAATCCAAATGCTTAATGGCACAGATAAAATCATCTGGAAGAACATTTTCAGGTAACAATTCCTGTGTTAGAAAAGCATAAGAAATCCAATTAAAACAGAAAGTTGACAATGTCATAGCAAAACCTGAATACGCTTCTACAAGTCAAATAATAGTGGTAGGGAATATTACCATAAAAGTTTTGTAAGGGGTTGCATTTGACAAAACAACTGAAGAATGCACCTTTGTCCCATCAGCCAATATAACCTAAATGATTCCACCCAGGTTCCTAATATCTAAATTACTTTTTCGAAGCTCGAAAATCCATTTCATTGAAGAAATCCAGATAATGAAACTAACCCCATTTACAGCTCCAGAGTCCTCAATCATCAATCTTGAAACCTAAATAACAAAAAACATCCTCATAGGTAGCAAGATAATAGATTAGACATGACCAAACTAGCAAAAAGGTAAATAATTTATTATTTCTTGAAAAAAGAAGAGGAAAAGGTATGATAAGAACTAAGGATGTATGTTTCCTAGCTTATTAATTTCATTGCGAACTACGAAAATGGTTAATCAGATGAAGCATTTGATATTTTAGAACTTAGTTACAACTGGGATCTACCATTTACGTGGAATTTTCCCACAAAGAACTTCAATGTAGGTAAAGTTTTTAAAAGAATTGATATTCTACATGATTTATCTCTACTAATTACTTCATGCTATAATTTCTTTTAATAATTTATATACATGGTTATAGATGAAGTAAACTAGGTTTGCTCTGAGTTCTAACTGGATCAGAAAAACATTGTGCCAAAGTTTCAACTTGAATCAATCCATGTTTTCTTTTTTCTTCCTCCCCCTTACTCTTCATCTTCCATTCTAATTCAAATAAAATCAAGCTGATGAGCTTTCTCTATGAATCTCATCCAATATAATAGAGCAATCAATCACCAATCTAGCAATTGCAAAGCAATCAGACAATAAAATTACTTACAAAAACTCTCTGTATAACATATCAAATCCAACTGTTGATCAGATCAAGAGGGCAACAATTCAAATATAACTTTCGATTACAGCACCACAGGAAAATGTACACTAAACGAGCTTCAAAATCTGAATATAAACTAGTTTACAACTCAAATGAAATCTAACAAATTTGTTTTTTTGCAACCACCATAACCACTATATATATATATATATATAGATATATATATATTCCATTTATTAGCAAATGAAATCTAAGAAAAAAATATATGAAAGGCAATACATGAATTTTTTTAATTTCTAAAAAATGTACCTGAGATAAAGAGCAAGATAGATCTGATCTGATTCAAACTCGATTTCAGATTTGCGATTTGCAAACTCAAATGGGAGCTAATAGCGAGAGAGATTGAGTTCGAGTTCGATTAGCCTCGAGATCGATGAAGAACAGAGATCATTGCGATTGATGAAGAACAACTAGAACAAACCCATGGTGGAGACGTCCAGAGAGTGAGAGCTTGCGAAGAAGATGTCGACATGGCTGAAGCCCGGATCGCCGACGAGTCTGGTGGTCCTTGGAAGCTTCAGCTATGGCGGAAGAGAAGAGGGAGAAGAAGAGCCAACCAGAGGGCCAAACACGACTGATTCAATTTTGTTTCGCCTTCTAACCGGTGTAGCCGATTGCCTATTTGAGAGTTCAATTATTTAAGTAATTTAGTTATGATCTGGTTATGAGATAATATGGTATAAATAAGTAACTGAATATAACTAAATTATGACTCAATATGATAGTGATTATGACTAATATGATATTGGTTATGACATAAAATCATATAAGTTTATAACTAAATGTATGGTACATCTAAATGTACCATATCATACAAAATGATTCCTTCACTTTTGAGAATTCCATGACTTATGCAACATCTTTACGTAATATTGTGTTACAACCATATGGAGATCATGACCGAATTCTTTCTTCCATTTCAACAGTAGGCATTCCATTAGAGAATATTTTAATATACGAAGATTCTGGTTTGAGCTTACATGGACTCTCGACTTTCTTGTGTGCATGTCCATCTTTGACACAGTTGACACTTCATGACATAGACTTTCTCAATGACGATTCCATAAGGGATTTATGCCAATATCTTTCTAGTCTTGTGTACATAAAGCTTTCGTGTTCAACCTTAACCGCCACAACCTTCTTCCTTCTTACGAAAGAATGTCCTGTGCATTCAGAAATTGATCTGGGCTTTCTAAAGCTACAGGTTGAAGATGATTTAGACATGGTGTTGAACATTTACATTATGCAATAATCAATATACATTGCACATCATGCAACATCACATGCTTCAAATGTTAAAGTTCACATCATTAAATGCAAAACATTAAAATATGATAATTCACAACAATAAGACTCCAGTTGATGTAAACATTCACATTCACTGAAATGCCCCATCAATATTTTAATTTATGCTCTACCTATCCTGTAAAACATCTTGATGATGATGCTAATGGGGTTGTTTTCCCCAGAGCCCTGTTAAACTCTATTTAATATATATTATCTCTCTTAAAAAAAATAATCGCCCATCTAATAAGTATACACACATTGATACATAATACAATATCAATTCATTTAGAAACAAAAAGTCGAATCCACTTTTAATTAATTGTTGAATAATTCTAAACATACATCTCTACCAAACATTATTGAACATGAATCCTTACCAAACGCATACCTATATGGAGTTGCAAAACAAAAATGATGCTAACCTTCATTCAACAATTCTGAACTTGTGATGGATACGAATCGTCCCTCCGATTGAAAGAAAACAAAGTTTCAAAATAGCAACAATGGAAGAAAATAGAGTTTCAAACCACAACAATAGAAGAAGACAATATTCTTTTGCTCTCTCACCACAAACGTATGAACGAAACCCTTACAAAAAAACATATAATAGAAACGTATCCAATGATTCTTCCAAGATCAGTGATCACCAAAACTGTCAAAACAGAAATAACAAAATATGGAAAACATATATATATATATATATATATCTTATTGTGTATAATACTTATTATCAAAATAAAACAAAAGGTTATTATAGTCCCCAAAAAATTACAAATTAGGAAAAAATAACCTCCTGAGATAGAAGTTTAAATATATGAGAGTTGATAGAACAATAGAAAACTTTATGGATTTATTAGGTTGTAAGTTTACTAAATGAGATTTATAAATAAATCCCTCTAAATGTTTGATTTGATTTTCATAAACTTGCTTAAGAATTTTTTTTTTTTAAAAGTTAAAAATTAATTTAGTGAAAGAAATTAAAAAAATAAAAAATACTTATCATTTTTACATTATTTTTATTTTTTGGAAGGTCAGAAATAATTTGTAAAAATATAATACTTATTATCAAAATAAAACAAAAGGTTATTATAGTCCCAAAAAAATTACAAATTAGGAAAATATAACCTCCTGAGATAGAAGTTTAAATATATGAGACTTGATAGAACAATAGAAAACTTTATGGATTTATTAGGTTGTAAGTTTACTAAATGAGATTTATAAATAAATCCCTCTAAATGTTTGATTTGATTTTCATAAACTTGCTTAAGAATTTTTTTTTTAAGTTAAAAATTAATTTAGTGAAAGAAATAAAAAAATAAAAAATACTTATCATTTTTACATTATTTTTATTTTTTGGAAGGTCAGAAATAATTTGTAAAAATTTAAAAATACTTTTTTGACATTTATTTTTATCAAATTAATTTCCATTTAAAAAAAATATGAAAAGTAAACCAAACAAGGCCTAATTTCTCGAAAATTGATAAGATTTCTTAAGAATTGAAATTAATTTAAATTTTATCTAATCATACACCACACATTGTTCTTTCTTGTAAGTTCTGTTTCTGTGTTGAAAACTTATTTCAAATTTTACTTCGAGTGTGTAATGTATATTTAAAATTAGTGAGACATGTGTCACACTGACAATGAATATAGGCCATTAATTTATTTTTTTTAAATAATTTTTTGTGATTTTTTTTCTTTTTTGGGATTTGTAGTAGTACTATTTATTTTAAGGTTAATTAATAATATATATATATATATATATCCTAATTTCTTATCAAACCAAACATACAAAATAATTATTTCCTTTTAACACATGAAAATGTAGTTTCTTAGTTGCATTCCATGTCACTTTGAAATCCAATTAATAAAATGTTTTTTTGCTTAAATTCTAAAAAAATTTAGTTCCAAATCAATTTTATTTATTTATTTATTTTCATTTAACAATTTCCTATTGAGCACTCGGGTTATAAGTCCAATTTCAAAACTTTCGAGGCAATAGTTCCAAGATCTATTTGTTTGCAAAACAATCTTCAGATACAATTTTTGAGAAATTTTTTTAAAATTTTGTTTCGTTCAATTTTTTTTAAAACAAATTTCAAAATTACTTTATTTCTCCTACATAACAATCAATCACTTTTTCTCTCTTCTCTCTCCTTCTCAATCATTTTTTCTCTTACATACATCTACTCAACTACAACAAAATATTAAATCATCTTAAACTCTCAAACTCCAAAACTATTTTCAAAATATACAACCAAATAAACTAAAAAAATTTCTAAACTCTTTTCCTAATTTTTTTTTTTTTGAAAATTTATCTGTTTGTCATTACCTTACTTTTTTTTTGTTTATATGTCCATTATCCATCTATTTGTCCATGTCATCAATCTATCCATTTATCTGTATACGTACCATCCTTCTATTTGTCTACATATCATCTATATGTCCACTTAATTTGTCTATATAATTACCACCCCCACCAATTGTTGCCCCCGTCCACTTCAACCAACAACTTTGGATAAATATATATATATATATATATATATTTAAAATAATAATTTGTTCTTCTCAATAAATAATTTTATTAGTATATTCTTAGCTCTATAAAAGATCTACTATTCGACCAAATGCCATATATCTCATATAAATGGAGTCATCATCAATTATCTCTTTCATTTTCTATATCTTTCTTTTTTGTCAAAGGCACGTCGATTTGTTAATCAATCCACACAGTTGTTAGATATGTACATGTTATTCTATTTTATTGTATCATTGAATTTTACTCCAATCGTCTCATTAAATTTTTATCAAGTCATTTTAAAAACATTTTGCTCTCTTATTTCAAAATTTTGTTTTTATCAAATTTAATTTTAAAAAAAAATCATCTCTAACGTTTTATTTTATTTTCATTTTTTTTTTATCAAATTCAAATTTGATAAAAGATTGGATGAGTGCTCAATTTAATATAAAAAATGAGCCTATATTGATTTGATACACATTTGATAAATAAAAAAAAATATTAAAAATGATATTTGAGTATTTTTTTTATTATGGTAAATTATAAATACTTCCCTTGAAATTTACTTAAAATACGAATTACTCCTTGTAGTTTGAAAAATTACAAATACCTCTCTATCAGAATTTTTTATTTAATAGAATTAATTGAAAATTTGAAATTTCTAATTGTTCACCTATGCAATAATAAAATTATTTGAATTATTATTCGAAATAAAATTTTAACATTATTAAAAACTGTTAATTAAATTGATAGTTTATTAATAAAAAAAATTATTTGTTATGAAATTAGAAATCTAGAAGTATAATGTAATTTCTAAAACTACAAAAAATAATTTATAATTTAAGTAAATTTTAAGGATGTATTTGTAATTTATCTTTTTTATTATCGTTCAAAATTTTTTTTGATTAATTTTAAATCTAATAAACGAAGAGATAAGGATTATCTGACCTCGACCCGTCTTCCTCGTGATACCTTTACCTTTCTCTCTCATGTTCATCTCTCTTGCCGAATCAATCATATACAAATAAATAATTGAAGATCATCTGTTTTTGTTTCTTCAAAGCGAAATCATGGAAGCTGAGCTGTTCGAAGACTGCTGGGAATTGATTCTGAATCAATTAGCAGCCGATGACATCAACTCCTTGCAATCCCCTTGTTTGGTCTCTAAGCAATTCCTCTCCATCACCAATCGACTTCGACATAAATTGGTGGCCTCCAACAGATTGTTCTACAGCAATAACTGTGAGGCTTTATTCAGAGCCCTTCAACGATTCACAAACCTCCACGAGATTGAGCTTCATGATCCTGTCTTCGGTGACAACGCCGACGTCAATTACCCCATTCGAAGAATCGCTTCTTCCGGGTTGGATCTTCATTCCCTCTCTCTTGAATCTTTACAGAAACCCCCATTACCTAAAACTATTATGAAATTGGGTTTGACCATGAAGAACTTGAAGATTTTAAACTGTCCTTGGGCCAAGTGTTTTCGAAATCACCACCTTGTTGCCATAGCTGATGCTTTACCATGGCTTGAAGAGCTCGATATCTACTTTTCCGACCACAATTTTGATTCTAAAAGCGCAAAGTACATAGTAACTGATGCTGGAATTGAGGTTATGTCTCGTAAGCTCCGACGGTTGCGTAAAATTGATATAACCGGGCAGGTTGGTTGTTCTGATCGATCTCTCATTGCTTTGTCATCAAATTGTGAGCTTTTGCTTGAAATTCAATGTGCTTGTTGCAGAATAACTGAACATGGCGTTTGTTTTGTACTACGCCATAGTCGAAACTTGATTTCTCTAGATGCTGGACCCTATTCCAGTTTACAAAATGATTCCTTCACTTTTGAGAATTCCATGACTTATGCAACATCTTTACGTGATCTTGTGTTAGAACCATATGGAGATCATGACCGAATTCTTTCTTCCATTTCAACAGCAGGCATTCCATTAGAGAAGATTTTAAGGCTTCGCAAGTTGGACCTCGTCCTTGTTAGTTCGGTCGGAGACTGTTGCAGTTAGCTCGGTCTAAACAGACAAAATCGAGGTATCAGTGGGGGGAGAATCGAGCTAAAGGATAGCTCTACAGGGCGTCATCTCAAAGTCAAGACTGACAGTGGTGCTTAAAGTATCACTGAGCCGAAATAACCTGGTTGACCGCAATGTCAACCGAGGTAAAGATGTCAGCCAAGGTAAATGAGGCAACATCAATGGCGAGGGTCAAGCTATGTATAGCTCGGCAGGGTGGCATTCGATAGATTGGCTTTCGATCACATAGTCCGAATGGCAGGGGACCGAGATAAGGCAGTTCAGTCAGAAATGTATAACCAAGGTAAAGGGTTCAGCCGTCTCACTTGGCTTGTAGTGATGAGACTCCTAGTAGGACTCTGCTAAGGAAAGTTAGAGTCCTACTAGGATTGTGCAAACCATCTCACTTGGTTGGTAGTGAGTAAGAGTATGACTCCTAGAAGGACTCTGCTCTATGCTAAGGAGAGTTAGAGTCCTACTGGGATTGTGTAAACCATCTCACTTGGTTGGTAGTGAGTAGGAGTATGACTCCTAGGAGGACTCTACTAAGGAGAGTATAGTTCTACTAGGATTGTGCAAAACCATCTCACTTGGTTGGTAGTGAATAGGGTGTGTGATTCCTAAGAGGACTCTCATAGGGAGAGTTGGAATCCTACTAGGATTGTGCCGAAGTAAAGTCTATAAAAGCTCATGACCAGACCTTTGTACAGGTATCCCAATTCTTACTCTAGAATACACAGAGCTTATTGTCTATTGTCTAGTTGCTGACTTAGGCATCGGAGGGGTTTCCGGCACACACCCGCTAGTTAGCTCACGTTTGTGTTTTCAGGTGGTTAAGCAACATTGTTTGGAGAAGGCAAACTTGATCAACAGGATCATACGAGAAGAATTATTTCTTTCCCGTACAATTAGCGTTGTCTGTGGGAATTTCATGAAGAGCAAAACCTCTTGATCAAGTTTTCCTCTCTAGTTGAAAGCAATAGCGCACAATGAGGACTTGCCACAATCTGTTATTGATGAGCCAACACCGGAAGAGGGTGGGAGGCGCGAAGGTTTACCTTCTATCCCACCCATGGCAGAATTAGATCCCCAGCGAAGGAATCCGCAGAGAGAAGCAAGAGAAAGACAAGGCTCAAGTCCATACCGCTCTCAAAGCCCTGATAGACAGAGGCGGAAGATGGATCCTCAGGTTCTCGAAGATCGCGTAAGGGAGCAAGACAAAGTAATAAGAAGAATGGTGACTGACATAGAGTCTAAGAAGAGCCAGATAAAAGGCAAAGTGAAGAAGAAAGACGAGTTAAAAGACGGACTTCTCAGGATGATGATGATGGTTCTGAGTCGGAGGAAGAATAATTGCGTGACCAAAGAGAGGGATGCAGCAGCAACAAGGAAGCTAGCTGAACCAAAATTAACACAGAGGGAGGAAGAAGAAGCTGTTCAGAGATCTAATGCTTTGGAGGAAGATGGCATTAGAGCTATAAGGAAAGTTTCAAGGCAAGAGTATTTGAAGAAACTGAAGGAGCTCAGAGATAATATAGAAGACGAGCAGTATCTATTTGATGGTGTAAAATTGACTGAAGCAGAATATCATGAACTGAGTTGAGGGATTCAATGACAATGATGTTGTCCCTTACTATGGAAGCCCTGATGGAGAGAGTGCACCAACACATCAGGGTAGAGGAAGATGGGGCACGCACCAAGACAGAGTCTGGCACAACAGCAATGTCCGACAAAACATCTTCGGCAAAAGATAACACGGTTGACAAGTAGGACCGACCGCGCAAAAATCCATGCCTAACTAAGGGCAAAGTGGGTTGGCAGGTTTGACCAACTCTTTCTGAAAAGTTTTTGCCCAACTTAGGGGGCAATCAAGAAGTTTGGCAAGAATAACCAAACGCTTAGCTCTATGTTGGCCGGAATAACCAACATTTAGCTTTCCTAAGCCGAGATACGGATATCTAGGCTGCAGGAAGTTGGTAGGTTTGACCAACAAGTCTTTGCCCGACTTGGGGGACAATCACGAAGTTTGGCAGGAATAACCAAACGCTTAGCTCTATGTTGGCTGGAATAACCAACATTTAGCTCTACTAAGCTGAGATAAGGATATCTAGGCTGCAGGAAGTTGGCAGGTTTGACCAACAAGTCTTTGCCCGACTTGGGGGCAATCAAGAAGTTTGGCAGGAATAACCAAACACTTAGCTCTATGTTGGCCGGAATAACCAACATTTAGCTTTCCTAAGCCAAGAAAAGGATGTCTAGGCTGTAGGAAGTTGGCAGGTTTGACCAACAAGTCTTTGCCTGACTGGGGGGCAATCAAGAAGTTTGGCAGGAATGGCCAAGTATTTAGCTCTTCTTCAAGTCGAGATAAGGATCAGTGCTGAAGAAGGTTGGCAAGAATAACCAACATTTAGCTCTCCTAAGCCGAGATGAGGATCTAGGCTGCAGGAAGTTGGCAGGTATGACCAACAAAATTTTTGAACTCTTTGGCTGGGATGAGGGTTACCTCGACCAAAGCAAGTTGGCAGGTATGACCAACAAATTTTTGAACCCTTTGGCCGGGATGATGGATACCTCGGTCAAAGCAGGTTGGCAGGTATGACCAACAAATTTTTGAACCCTTTGGCCGGGATGATGGTTACCTCGGCCAAAGCAGGTTGGCAAGTATGACCAACAAATTTTTTTTTGGAACTCTTTGGCCGGGATGATGGTTACCTCGGCCAAAGCAGGTTGGTAGGTATGACCAACAAATTTTTGAATTCCTGGACCGAGATGGTTATCTCGGCCAACACAGGTTGGCAGGGTACATATAAACCGAGTTAGTCTGTTCGGCAAGACACAAAAAGAACGACTCGACGTATACAAACTTGAACGATATATACGTTAAAGGCAAAAGATCAGGGCTATTTAAATTTTTGACATGACGATGGTAACAAGGAGAACAAGGATATTGGGGGCACGCCATGTATCCTGGGAATAACGTCGTACCAGATTAGTGGAAGGACATGCTAAGCAACTGACAAGGCTTATTGGGACCGAACAAGCTGTGAAACCAAACAAGCCGTGACTGGAGGAAAAATAATCCCAATCATGCTACGCAGATGGAATTAAGGGGCAATTGAGGGGGTAATTTGTAAACAAATTGGGCTGAGCTCGGAAGAGTCTTCTTTGGGAGTTGGACCGCGTAATGGGCCGAAATAA